ACCTGTGAAATAAAATGTTAAATGAGGCCTTGTAGTTTACTATGGACTGAGCTGATCAGTATTTTGTGCATAGCGCTCTCCCTGGCGCTCAGATACCTGAGTACTTATATGCTTCAGCAACTTCAGCAATTGTATAAATTCTCAGAAGAAAGCGGTTTTCTGGTCCTTTGTGCTGGAAGTCCAGTGTCCACACTATGCTACATTTCTGAAGTGATGCAAGAGCGCGTGTGGCTGCTCAGTGGTCTGCATTGCAGCTCCTGCCTCTGGAGTCAGTGTCGCGTCTGTGCCTCACTCTCTATTCTAAACCTGCTGATGCTGTAAAAAGCTTTTTACTCTCACGGCTTTTTAAAAATGATCCCCTTGTAAAGATGATTATGAAGAACATGATTTCTAGCATCACCACTAAAGGTTCAGTTCCAGCTATGTTAAAAATATTGAGAAGGGTGGTGGTGTGTCGTGCCCCCTGTCCATCCACACAAGGCATAATGTAGCACTGTCAGATACAAAAAATACCGTGTATTTGTTCACTGCATAAAATTGACCGATCATACTTGTTTTGACAAGTACAGCTCTAAGCAATAATGTTACTTATCATGCATGTTTCACTGCAGTTTTCTCCCAGCATTTTAATCCCAGAGAAGTAAGGACTGGTATTTATCGTCGTTATTCGCGAGGTGCTTCACAGTTCCACTGTGAATCTGTCGATGACTGCTCTCTGAAGGCCTCCTGTCCCTTTAAATCTTTTATAAGCATTACACAACAGGTCCAGTGGCACACAAGCAACAAACAACCCGAAAAAGAAAGCTCACAGGGTTGGGTCGAGGCAGCCAGGGGAAGGAACCAGACACCTACAGACAGACAGGCCCTCTGATCAGAGCCGTCACTGTGGCTACCACGCAAACACACTCGCACACATAGCTGTATTCTTCCTCACACACAACCAACCGCAACAAACAAAATGGTTTTGCTTGGTCAGTCTGAAGCCTGATAAGGGCTCGTAAATGCCGTGGGGATTTTGTCCTTCCTCCCATTGTGAAAATCAAAGTTGATATTTTGAGGCTCATGCTAGGGCTCCCTGATTTGGTCTTTAATCAGTTTAAAGACTAAGTAGTATTTGTGGGAGTTGTCTTTGTAAAGATGGAGGAATTAGGGCAGAGAGTGTTTTCGCAGTTTTAAAGCAAAATCCATTTCATTTGCATGCAGAGAGCAAAAATAGAAAAAGAACAAGGATCGTAGAAAGGATTGGGTGGTTATGTACTTTGTTGAGGCACTTGGCACAAAGTCGGTGAACTGGCCACTACCTGTCGCTGCCCCACCCTCCCAGTGTCTCGTAGCTGTGTTTCTGCGTCACCGCTCGCATTGCCTGCGATTGACTGCTACTTCCCTGCTTTTCTCTTTTAGTGGCTGGAGAGCAGCATACAATCATCCTCTCTATTCTTTTGAGCAAGCGAGAGAAGAGGATTTGTCAAGGTCTGTTTGCATAGAGCTGCAGGTGAGCCCGTATGTTAAAGACATACAGTACAGTGGCAGGATTTTCTGTGTATCTGTTCTTTTTTTTGGCCCATCACACATCCACGAAGCTTGGATCAAGTAGCAGATCAGCCGCGTGGGCGTGTTAGAGAGAAATAGATTGAGACGGAGAGGTGTTCTGGTGCTTTCTCAGTGCTTTTCATTTCATCTCTCTCTCTTTATCTGCCATCATCTGCTTCCCTTCTCTCCGATTTCTGAACAAGGTCAGCAAATCGAACTTACTTTGTGTGTACAAACCCGAGCAAAACCATCATATAGTTGATCACGCTTAACGTCCCTCAGCTTGCCTTGGACTGTCATCTTCTTCCATTTAGAAACAAGATATGAGACGGTTCCTTTTACTGTTTCACTGGCATGAATTAGCATGAGACACAGACGTAGCATTGTTTTAAAAATGAACTGTTCTATTTACAAAAGTTAAAGCCTCTAAATCCAAGACTTAACATGACACAGCCTCTGAATGCTCCTTTCAGCGTGATCTTGCTGAAGTCGACTTTCCCACATCCAGTGTGCGACTCTTTTGTGATTAAATGCCATGGATGTTGTGTCATTTTCTTGTGGGTGTTTAGTTAACGCATAATTCGCTTCTGCGAACAGAGCATTATATTCACAGAGCTACCAACTGTTCTGTGAGCATTGCCTCCTGAGTGTGACTCCTGTTTCTATATTAAATAACATTTTAGGTACCAGATGAAAATATGTCATCTTAGAGTAATTAATCCAGTGTCAGTGAAAATAAGTCATCTCAAAAGGATGTGCTGAGTATCCTAGTTTGTCTGAACTTCATGACAGTTTTAATTGCAATATAAGAATATTGTTGCAGACTTCTAAATCTAGGCTGTCTCCCAACTTACTCCCATATCAGCGAGAGCTTCACATCTGGCGTATCTGTCCTATGCTCCGTGTTAGCTTCATATCTGCGTGTTCTGTAATTATGTGTGTATCAGATGCAGCCTCAGTGCCGCTTCTTTGTTCTTTCATTCATCTTTTCATTTCAGCTCTAGTGAAATATTCCTCGCATCCATTTTATCAAAGTTGTGCATGGTGCTTGCTCATATTAAATCCAATTCATAGTGAAAAGAAAAAACATCTGTTGGTAAACTTTTTCTATGTTAAATTATTATTTTCCACTGTTTTCTACTAAAACTGAATTTATGTTTCTGGCTGTTCTAGATTCTGCTGAATTTTACACCAAAGAAGACGGCCTTTCATCAGAGGTTCCCCCTTTGGAAGCTGGTTTCAGATGGTGGCTTAGAGTATTGTCATCTATCTAGCACCATTTGAAATCAGTGTTCTTGGGGCGGGAAGTAAGTTTCAATGACCAGCTGTGAGGTGTCAAAAGAAGTGCCCGGTGATAAAGGTACAACATGGAAATGTCACCACTGGAAGATGGAGTACCACTTGCAGAACTACAAACTTCTGGTCTACACTGACGTTTGCCAGCTTATGCTTTTTGTCCTCTTTCCAAGGTTGACCGATTTCTTTCGGTGTTCAGAGTCTGCTTCTGTTTCTAGCACCATTTGAAATCGGTTACAGTGAAGGACAGATCTCATCTTACCTTGAGGAGGATTTTGCAACGAAGTGGTCCGCTTTTTGTTTTTGTTTTTTAAATGGCCTTTGTAGAATCTATAGACATTGATATGTTTATTTTATTTTTTTAAGAGTCTTTCGGGGTATACAACTCAAAAGTTTTGGGTCACCCAGAAGATCCCAGATTTTGAATGAAACCTTTAACTTCCATCCACCCACTTTCTTAACTGCTTATCCAGTTTAGAGTCACAGAGAAATGAGAGGGAGTGTGCAACCTGGATAGTTCACTATTGCACCACCTGACTAACCATTCACATTTACAGTTTCTTTGGAAACACCAAAAGAATGTCAGCACGGTGGGATGTTGCAACATTGGAGAACATTAAAAGCCTCACACAAAAAAAGTATTAGATAAGCAGGAGGTTCAAACCAGAAATGGTTTTGCTTTGAGACAACAACGCTGTGGTATTTATTGATGAGAAATTTCACAATTTGAAGCAAGGAGCCACAAGTTGGAATTTCTTAATGGGCACTTCTTACATACCTTATTGTCAAGATGTTTCCACAACAGCTAAGCAGGATTATATTCTCATGACAGAATAACAGCTGAAAGCTTCTTTTCGACATTTTTCTTGCAGTCTGTAGCTGTGCCTCATCGTTGTCCTGGTATCGTGTTCCCACTTAAAATTTGTTTCTCAGAATGACCACGCTAAGATTTTAGTCTTTTAAAATACTAAGGTACAACATTGGAACTCTAGAGTAGTGGTGTGCAATACTGCATATTTTGGTATCGATCCAATACCAAGTAAACAAGGGTCAGGGGACGCAGTGGATGCATCATTGAATTCCTAAATCTCAATTAATTTTCATGACCTTAACTGTTTTTTTGTGATGTTTCTTTTTTTTTATTGTTAAATAGTTAAAATCCAGGACATAATTAGGATGTTTATAATTAAATAGAAAATACTTTTCTCATTTGTTAAACCACTTAAAACTGACGTATTATCCAAAGTATACAAGAGGCACCTTGAAGTGAAACTCAAGAGATCAAAACCAGTGTAGTACCAACACATAAGACAAAATTGGTATTTTTCTTTCAATAGGCAGCCTGTCACAGGAAAAAAAAAAAGTTCACATTTCAGTTTTATCTGTGGAACATACCAGAGCTAACACAGTTTGACTGGTGAAAAAAAGCATTTCTGCCCCAACAACGTGATATATCAATATATCCTTAAACAACTGAAGAATTGGAGGACCAAAAAAAGGGTCAGGCCTCTGAAAGTCATGTTATTAAAAAAAAACAGCAAAGAGCTGACACAGGACCTGAGAGATACGTCTGGCCCTTCAGTTGATTCCTCTGCTGTTCATTGACGAGCCATCGTCTCAGTGCAATGGTGGCAGTCAGGAAGCCATTCTGTGTGAGGAACACTAAATTACACAAGAACTCGACTGAAAATCACTAACAAAAGGTCTAATACAGTGATGAATCCAAATTTAGATATTTGGTTCCTATTGTTATTGATGTGTATAAAGGTGGTTAATAGAGAGGTAGAGTGACTGCAAGTCATTTGTAAAACAGGGTGGAGGCTTTGTCATAATTTGGAGCTGCATTTCATTGAGTGGTGTGGAAAACTGATAAAATTCTGAACTCAGAAAGTACCATCACATTATGTTCCACCATGCAATAAAAGCTCTTCAAAAAGCACAGACTGAATACATGTTGTATTTCCAAGCATACTTGAATGTTTAGATTTATTTTAAAAATGCAACATATGAAAAAATTAGTGGCGGTTCAATACTTTTGTATCGTTGAGTAGCAACAATCTACTTATTTAGAATTTATTAATCCATTTATAAATCTGTAAAAGAGTGTGTGTGTGTGTGTGTGTGTGTGTGTGTGTACACATTAACATTATCAAGAGGAGCTTGGCACGCAGCAATGTTGTCATTGATTTTATTATTATAAATTTTGTTCCAACTTAAAAATCAGATTCTTTTATTTTAATAATAAATATTAAGCAAGGCAATTGAGCTAATTCTCAAAATATTCATCTTCATGTCCTGAACAGCGAGTAGTCAAAAGACAATTTAAAAAACAAAACAAAAACTCATGCAGTGACAGGCTGATATCCACAAATGTTTAAAAGACATAAAATACAAGTTTATGACTTTTTTTTTTTCCTCCCCCTTGTCAATGAAACCTTGAAACTCAATCCCAAAAAGTTGTTTCTGTTCATCGTAGCATGTCCAGTGGGAGAAACATTTCATTCACTTCTTCAGTCCCAGCTGACTTTAGGTTTGTAAGATCTGGGAAACCTGCAGTCAGTTGAGACTAAAGATGAGTCCAGATGAACAGAAACAACTTTTTGGGATTTCCTTTCCTGGATGATTGAAGTGTCTTCACATATCCTCAAACTTACTTTGGCAAATTAAAAAAAACAAAACAAGGTGCTGACATTATTTAAGACTAAACACTGCAGGCAGGTTTGGAAACCCAACAACTGGGTTAACATTTATGAAATTCACAAGTATTTGAATGAAGCACAAGCTAAAACACTTTTTTTTTTTGCATTAAGGCATGAATAGATGCCTTATGATTAGATTTGGGACCATTTTACAGATCTAACTCTCCAAACTAACAGTCCTTAATACACAAAACTTTTCCAACAAAATTTTTTGATCCAAATGAGTAGTTACAGACATTGTGTGCCAATTTTGCTCATTTTAGACCATCTGTAAATGAGCTACAATAGTCAAGCTGTGTTCCTTTACTACAGTGCAACAGATAAATTCAACATAGAATTGAAGTTTCTCCGCTAAATATTTATCAGTTTCTTTGTTATGATCAGAAAACAAAAAGCCACTCGAAGCATAACATGTCCCAATCCACTGATGTTTCTTGGTCTTCGGAATCCAATTTTAAGAGAGGTGCTCAGAAACTTCAGGCAAATGCATGTACACAGAGGGCATGTACATTCAAAGACTGGTCCTTCGACATTCTTCTTAGGAAGCGGTTTTCACAGCAAGTAGTTGTGGAATATCCAGGCTGTCATGCTTACTGAAAAAATAAATAAAATTCAGTAAATAAATAAGAGTAATTATATACTTTTTTGAAAAGTCTAAAACCCCCAGCAAACCTGTAGAGAAAGGGGAAAAAAATGTTTGAGTACTAAAACAGTTGTTTCACAAGTTCAGCCAAGGTAGAAAAAGAAAAAAAGACCATCACTGAACATACATTATGGACATGAGTGAAATTATATGACGTGTATATCTACATTATCACATTAATCTCGTTTTTTGTTTGTTTTACATAAATTAGCTCAAGTGTTCTTCAAGATCCATCATCTTACCGAGAGTGCTACAGTACTTCCTCTCCAACATTTGTAGCATCTTTGTCAGTATTGCCTCTTCGAGCGCTGTAATCCAGTAATGACTGGTCAACATTATTGATTATGTACAACAGGCAAACAGAAAGCTACATGGAATGAAGAAGTCCACAGAAACCACCACATGCCTACATACCACTCATCCACAAGGACCACCCCACACAAGCAGCACCCGTGCCGGCAGCTACTCTTTCACCTCTTATAGTCAAAACAGCCAAATTTGTTTGATGAGATACAAAATATTACCTGTTAATTCATGTTAGCAGAAACAAACATAAATAAATCTTTATCAATAACAACCTATTTGGCTTTTTTAAAGACTCAAATTAAAGCTAAAATAAAAAGTGAATTAATATCAATGTTCCAAAATGTAATTAAAATCTTTCATTCAACTAAAGACATTACAATATACTATGTAAACAATGCCTACATACTATTTGGGCTCTTTATATTTCTCTTATAAATACAAAGAGTGATAAGATTGTGCAGGAGGATATAATTATGCCACCACCAAATGCTCCCTTGTCACATTTATTTAAAAAAAAAAAAAAAAAAAAAAACCCCATCCACAACATTTACTGACTAACGATCTCCTCATTTTTACAAGTTCATGGCAGACATTATGGATCCTAAAAGCAAATTGAACGCTGTGCATCCCCAATACATGATAAATATTTGAATACAACTTCATATGAAGTATTGCATTTCCCCCAAAAATAAAAGTGTTTAAGTTCCTACTATGCCCCATTTCAACGCAAAGAGAGACTACTGTGTTTTGATGTCATCACTATTTGAGCAAGGTCTTTCCTCCACTATAGATTTCACTATATGTATGCGTGTCTACTTCACCTCCTGATACCCTTTGCCAAGTCCCTTTCTACCACGCCCGCCCGCCCGCCCGCGCACACACACGCGCACACACGCACACACAGCAGAGACTGGCAAAATGATGACATCATTACTTAACTGAAAGACTTATTCAGTTTCAGTAAATATATAATATGAGAATACCTACAAGTAGTAATCTATGTAAAATGACAAGGCAGTACTAAATAAAACTCCACTGTTGACACCACTTCCACTTCTTCACCCTCCCAAGCAATCAAGGAGAAACACCTAAGTGTAAGACTCTGAAGTCCACAACAGGAAAGCCACCGAATTTCATACAACACTTCTCTGGAAATGTGTCACTGGTATGACACACACACTTCCTATTTTACAGATAAATTTAGTCAATAAAAAGTTTTCTTCTCTTTAAAATATTACAAATCAGATGTATTTCTTTGACCATATTCACAGCCTTAAAATTTAAGAATTAGCTGTGGTACATAAGCCATAAGCTAATGCAAATGAAACAAAATTCCTGTCATGGCATTCACAGCAGTGAATCAACATGTATAAAATATTGTATGTAACAACACAATTTAAACCACTACTCACCTCATCATTCAATATTTTAAAACACTACATGCTACATAAAATAACACTGTAGTAGAGAAATTCATTATCCAGGAAGCCTTACAAAAAGCACAAAGTTTCAGCATGCAACACTAAGATTATAGAAAGCTTGGATAGAAAGAAAAGCTGGAAAACTAATGGGTAGCCTGAGAAGCAAACAACACAAAGGACAAAGCTTTTTCGAGGGTTAGTCAGCAAAGTTTAATAAAACACAATTTTACCGCTTTCCCTTTTTGCTGTTTTTCTTGTACCACATAAAGCCTCCAAAGCCGCCGGCCAGGGCTCCGATGACCACAACTTTTATGGGGGAGAAGGGGGGAAATTAATGCGAAAAAAAAAATTGAAGAAAATTTAAAAAAAAAAAAAAGCTTATTGACTGGACAACCTATTAGATGTCAGTATGGCCACAAAAGTAAGTAATAATTAAACAAGAATATGGGAGACTGCTACGCTGATGATACAATTTTAAAGGAGGATAATCCTGGCAAAATATTTGAGTAGTATTTAACAAAAGAAGGGGCAAAACAAAATCAGACCAGGCAAATAGTCTTCAAGTGAGAAGACAGTCAATGAAACAAACCAAGTTAAAGAATTCTCGTTATTTTTTAAATTTTTTTAAAGAGAGACTATATTCTTCTGTTATTTCCAATTTTACTGAAATATGAGCCACTTTGGACTGTGCAGAACATATTATAGTTGTTAACGCAAGTAATAGGCCACTAGTGTGGCATAACTACAGTTATTATAAATCACATTAGTGCAGAACCACACTGGTTTACAGAGCTATCATCTGTTTTTACTTTAAAACTTTTGCGTCTTGTTTAACTTTCCATTTGCTGCAGCTGCAGGACATCCTACACTTAATGGTTTACCACCATTGTATATCCGGTCTTTAAGTGATGACATGATGAATCCTGCTTCCGTTCCCAAAGTAGTCTGCATTTAATAAGGCTGTGGTGTTTTTAACATGCTCTAATGCTTTGCATCTTGTTCTATTTAATCCCAACCCCCTAAAAACAGTCGGTGATCACTGTTGGCTTCTCTCAGTTTTTATTATCGCTAATCATTTTAAAGTTCAGTTTTGAAACCCTTACGATTTAACTACAGCCCAGCCCATGCAGCAGTATATTAATGACTAACCTCGTATTATGAATGGATTATCTCTGTGGTTCTCCTGACAGACGTTTGGTCCGTTTACAGCATCCTGCCGTCCGAGTGCATTTGCCCCTAACCATTGGGAACCCTCACATTAACTTTTATCGAGTGGAGAAAAAGTCCTCCGTTCATTAGCATTCGCCCTCCAGCTTTACTGTTTATTTTATGCTAACATAGCTGTGTAGTGCTAGCAATCACATAGCACATCATTATATACAGCTAGCCAAACTTCAGTAACTTTCCATCTTCATTTATGTCGGAAGTGATAACAGAGCTGTACGTTTGAATTTGTTTCATAAATCTCTCAGTCAGAACATGGTATATTATATTTAGATGGAAGCTAGCGAGCTCACTCCCTGCTAACTTCTAACTCTGTTAAATATCAAAAATTATGTTTTCACGGATGCCTGGGTGTTAAACTTAATTGTTACACCTGGCAGAGCAGCCACAGTGATCATTTAATTACAGATGAAAGAATTTAGATCAGATTCCAGAGCCCAGACATGGCTAATGACGTCAGACTTAAAGACCGGATTGATAACACTATATAATAATTAGTGTAACCAACAAGTTGACCCAATGGCCAACCAATTTTTTTTTTCTTTTTTTTTTTTTTTTTTTTAAATGTACAGTCAAGGTAAATAAAAGCGAACAAACAAAAAACCCTAATATTAAATAAAAGAAAGGAAAAAAAAGACTATATTACATTAAAGTACTGCCATTTAATACTTATTACGGGTATATTCTGAATGTGTATCATAAAAAATATGATAAGCATGCTGAAATATAAACATGATCTTTTTGGGTCAACCTCATGTTTTTACATTCATGATCTACTATAAAAATATGAATTTCAAACTTACCCACAATGCCAATGACTAAACCTTTAGAACTGCCATTTCCATTGTCCACTGGAGGTTAAGGTAAAAAAGACAAAGACCAATTAAAACCAAAGGAAGAGACAGCAAAATTCCTAAACTGATTATACAACTGACCCATGAGCACACTGAAAAATCTTTCAATCCCTGTGAACTGCATCCTTCTGGTTCATCAAAAGTATACTTTAAAATTGTCTCTTTAAATTTTTTATTACATCTACAGTGGGGCAAAAAAGTATTTAGTCAGCCACCGATTGTGCAAGTTCCCCCAC